ATATATATGTATGTATAATTTTAGTTTATTTCGAAAAATTTGTCTCAGAACCACTAACAGAATAACCTGGGTGTGGTGGTGCACAGTAGTAATCCCAGCACTCTGGGAATCCAAGGCTGGAGGATCACAAGTTTGAGTCCAGCTCAGGCAACTTAGTGAGACCCTGTCTCAAAATAGACAAGAAGGCTGGGGATATGGCAGAGACCTAGGGCTTAATCCCCAGCTCCATATAGAATAGCCCCAGCTAGAGACAGGGGCTTCCTCAGTTGTACCTACCACCACCAGTCTAAAAAAAATATCAAGCTTGAAAAGCTCATTTCAAGCCAGTGATTTTCAGGAGCCCACATATCTTCAGTATCTTCACAGAAATGTATGTGAGGCACTCAAACAGCAAGTCTACTCAAATATGCTTCCCAAGCAGCTTTTCTGTACATTTCCGCTGCCTGCAGGCGATTGGGTGTGGACAGTATGCCTCGGCCCACAATGATGATGTCAGAACCTCCTCTGCCAATTACTTCTTGGGGACTGTTGTACTGTTGACCAAGGTGATCCCCTGTAGAAAAGTAAGTTATTTAAAATACAAAAAACAAGAGTCCTGGCACACAACTCCTTTACAACAACATGTAACCAGCTTTCAATAAAATATGCTCTGGCTTTCTACTTCCCTTCTGCAGAGAAAAGGCAATGCAGGAAGTGCTGGCTCCTTGGGTCACCCGAGCCCTTCATAGAAAAGATGCCAAATGACTCCTTCCCAGTGTCAGTAAGTTCAGAGCATTTACAGTTCAACGATGGCAAAAAGAAGGTAAATGTCTTATATGGCCAAGAAAGGGTCAGTTAACAAAGAACAACAAAATACAGTTACACTTGGTCTCACAACTGAAGGAAATGCTAATATTCTTCTCCATCACGGTGACGCACAGTTGGTAAGTCCTGAAAGGCATCTACCCTGACCACCTCCATCCAGGTGACCCTTTCTGTGCTCCACCCCCAGAAGTACATGCTTGAAAACCCTAAGCTTGAAATGGTGGTTTTGTTTTTTATTAAATCCTACTGTTGTAGAAGCATTGTTAGATGGCTTATGCTGCTTTACATATCCTTAAAAGCCAAGGTCTTAACTGCACTACCTACTCAAACTGTGGGTCTGCAAGTAACACTGGCAGCTGCCAAGTACAGAGCGCCCACTCAGGGCCGAGACTGAGTTACTGCAGATGCTCCACACATCCAGACATCTCCACATCCCGACACCTACAGTACCACCCTATACTTATAAGATCAGAATTATCCCCATTTTACAGAATGGGAAAATGATTAAAGGTGGTTTGTCTGAAGACACATGCTTACCAAATTCAAAGGCTAGAAAGCCAAATCTATCTCAAATACTTAGCACAAACATGAAGTTAAAAAAATAAGGGTTGGAGATGTACAGTGGATCCTTGACTTACAAACTCCATTCGAGAGGGCTGACTGTAACTCAAGCTGGTGAACTGAAGGCTCTTCACAGTTTCTCTCCTGTACACAGGCAGATCTCAGTGTCCTTAGAGACACTCTGGCTGAGGATTTCTTAACTCCAGAAGGAAAGGAACTCTGTAAGGGTTAAATCTGTATCTGAGACTACCTGGAAGCACAAGTGGCTAGCATCTGGGTCGTAACTCAAGATTCTGGTCATAAGTTAAAAACAAATTCTGGTTGTAACCCAAGTTGTTTGCATTTCAGGCCAGTCATAACTTGACCGGTTGTAGCTCAGTGGTAGAGCTTGCATGTGCAAGACCCTGGTCTGGCATGTGCAAGACCCTGGCTTTGATCCCCAACATCTCAAAACAGAAAACGTGTATTTTTATAACCTAGATCACTCCTTTATTGAACAGAAGACCATCAAAAAGAAGACTAGCCTTGCTCCTTGGACTCTAAAGAAACAAGTGCTTCCCTTTTAGTCTAGGCTTTTCCACAGTAGAGCACAGCATATCTTCTTTTAGCAGCGCATTCAAAGCACCAATTGGAAAACACTAACGTAAAATGCCAGTTTCCTGGGCATAAACAAGTAGGCACTAATGTAAAATGCCAGTTTCCTGGGCATAAACAAGTAGGTTTCTAAATTCTTAACCTAAAATTAATCTGCAAGCTGTTTTGCAAATCAAATAGAGGACAGTTATCACCAGGCCAAAGAACTCATTCATCATGCTTAGACTAAGAATGCTTATCTTTAGCAATTTTATAACATGCAAAGTTGTATTTCACCTGACATGGGTAAAACAAGCATTTCCCAAAGAGCCGTTACTAAGATAGCTAAGTTAGAAATTAATATACAGTCAGAGAGGCACTGGGCTCTCAAGGAAGTCAGCAGAAAGAATAAAGACATCAGAATTGTGGCTGGAGGTACATCTGAAGGCCAGGCCTCAAGATAGAGATGCAGGGCTGGGGATGTAGCTCAGTGGTTGCTGCGACCTGCCTCCCTAAGGGATAAGCAATTAGTTTGCTTTTTGAGATTTGCACAGAAAAAACATCTATATAAGTTTTAGGGGTAGCCATACATTTAAGGTTTTCAATAATTAATTCATGATTGGTTAAACTTATATATCTAGACATAATGTATGTATACATCTAAAAAAAGCTATGTTGAACCTAAGGTTTACAGCGTTAAGATTATGTATGTTTAATACAAAGTAACTAATAGACGCTTTTTTTAATATACATATAGACCTATATATACATATAGACCTTAAGCATATAAAATGATCAAAATTTGACATCTTTTTAAATTGGTCCTGACATTTAAAGTTGATCTACAAGCATTTTGGGTAACAAGTGTATCAGAGCTGTTAATATGTCTTTAACTCTTATCAATATAGTATTGTTAACCTCATGGTATATTAAATGGTACATTTGTTTCCCAAGTATACAGGCCTTCAAAGATAAATTTTTTGTTTTGATTTGAGACAAGGTCTCACTATACAGTTGAGAATAACCTGGAACTATGTAGCCCAGGCTGGTCTTGAACTCACAGCAATCCTCCTGCCTCAGCCTCCCAAGTGCTGGGATTACAGGCGTGTGCCACCATGCCTGGCTTTTCAAAGATAAACTGAAAAACATCTTATATTGGTGACTTCCAGGTTAAAGTTATTTGTGATGGTAAACTTATGCTTAAATATCCAGCATTCCCATATTTGAGTTCCAGCTATTAGTGATAAAATGTACATGCCAAGCCAGCATAAGAAAGCCAGCCAGATGATGCAAATATATTTTCAGACTCATGCTTGTGTGATTATGTAATTGTTATAAAATTTTATAACCTAAACACCATACAGTCCAGATAATGTCACTCTAATGATTAGATATTAATACTCTATAAAGTACAGCCTACTTGAATATCACTAAAAAATGGTTAAAAGATAACAAATAGCATAAACTTTTACCTAATTTGTAATCTTGTAGTTGGATGACTAAAATGCTATTTTATACTAAGATACGACATTTAAATATGTTTCAGAGATGTCATTAGGACTGTCATGTTAAAATGCTATGAGGGTCCTAATCTCATCTGCTCTGTAAAACTTTGTAACTAGAAAGCTAACTAGGCTAACAGGACAGCAATATTTTAGTCCTGGCCTTCCCAGGACATGTGGGACCTTTTTCTACAGGATACTACAATTTTGGTGAGTCACCCAACCTCTGGAACACGGAGAATGCTGGACCCCAGAGACCAAGAGTCAACAAAAGCAGTGTGCCAAAAAGGGTCACCAAAGAGAGAAATGTCTTCCATACTTCCACAGAAAGACACGTGCTCAAGCAAGACTGTGACTCATCCTGGCAGCTGACACTGATAGAAGCTGAGAGATACCTGAGAAAACGTAAATGACCTTGCTAGACGGCAAGAGGTTAATTTTGATTAACACAAGTCTCACTTTAACTTGGTCTTAAACACCCAGCAGAAAAGTATAGCTAAAAGATACATAAAAATACTACTATAGTAATGAAGGCTAGATATAGCAGTGTCTGGACAAAGCTATTTTCCTCAATCTGCTTTTTCATTCTAGTGCTCATACTTTCATTGTGCTTTAATCTCTTGGAAAACTCCATGTGATTGTGAAGATGGAACCAACAATAAATGTGCCAGGCTCCTTTTACCAGGATCTGCTAGATCGACCTTCTAAAGGGAGTTCATAACTGCTAAACCCCAAAATGATAGCTCTCTGGAGAAGGCCCCTGACTGCAGTCTCCCCTACACCAATCCTTCTCAGCTCAAAGCAGCTAGATCGAAACTTGGCCCATTCTCCCCTAACTGCAGTTAAGGGTAGCTATTCAGAAGGATATAATATGGACAGCTAAGTTAGATAGAAATAGATAGACAGTCAGAGAGGGACTGGACTCCCAAGGAAGTCAGCCGAAACAATACACACCTCAAAATTGTGGCTGGAGGCAAAGCTGAACGCCTGGCCTCAAGATAAAGACAGAATGGCAAGACCTACATGGCCCTGGGGGGAAGCAGTGTCTTGGAATTATACTATAAATAGCCCTGCCTCAGTCAGGAAGTCCAGATAGGCATCAGCCACCCAGGAGGGTGACCAGAGCAACTGGACCCATCCCTTTCCCCAGATGCCTTTGTTCTTTCTGGGTACTCTTGCTGTGTGACCTGCTTCCTTACTGAACCAATATTAGTTAAGTGGCTATACCTGTAATCCTTTAGATCGATTGTAGTTTGACCCATGTTATGCCCACACTGTGAATTTCCTGTATAAATTACCGCTGACAAAAGGGCACCCACTTTTGGGTCCCCTCCTGTCTCTCAGGAGTTAACTCTCAATAAACTTTTCCCACTCTTAACCTCTGCTGTTCCTTAGAACTCATTCTTTGATTTCGGGGGACATGAATTCAGTATATCTAATACATAGCGGGTTGAGAGTTATATTTCCTGAACAGACCTACCTCCTGCTTCCAGCTGAACTCCTGGAGTCAAGTGAAGAAATTCTGGTTTCATGCTTACTCGGGAGCCAGAAATAAAACCAATCACAAATTCACAATGGTGCTCAGCCATTCTAACCTAAATGGAATATAATAGGTCATGTTAGAAGAAAATAATCATGTAGAATAATTCCATGAAAGTAAAAAGTTGCTCTATTAGTCTGAAACTTGTCACATTATCGGAAACAGGTCATCTTAGAGATGAATCAGGAATGGTGAAACAGATTTGCCTCATTAAGTGGCAAAGAAGATCCTTTCCCCAAAGAACCATACTTGGAAACATCCAAATACTATACTACACCCTATACTACATCCGTTAAAATCAAGATGCTGCATACTTATATCACAGGCTTCGCAGCTCTTCTCCGAGACTCACACTGTCCCACTCCTACACAGGTCCCGGAGGCCAGACCTACACCTCCAGAAATGCCAGGACTTGCACTGATGCCCAGTCCCTCTGCTTTTATACTTCTGGCCTATTCAATGGTGGGATTAGAACCTGATTCTAGGACCATTTAAGTCCTTAACAGCTGCATTACAGTCTTTGAAATACTGTGGAAAAATAAAGAGATCATTGTGATTTCTTAAAATATCTGTAAAGGTGGCTTTTCCACAGTTCTAGGTAACTATCCAAATATAAATATTCTATTTTAGTGGGCAGGGATCAGGATGGGGTGGGGTGTGTGGTGTCCCTGGTCATTACAGAGATGCAAATTAATGCTAAGATTCCATCTTACTCCAAAAGGAATGGAAATCATCAAAACAAAAACTAACAATGCCGTTGTGGCTGGGGCGAGAAAGGAACCCTCTGACATTGTTGCTCGGAATATAAACTAGTACAACCATTATGGCAATCAGTATGGAGATTTCTCAAAGAACTAAACTAGAAATTTCATCTTACTTAGCTATGCCCCTTCTAGCTATCTTCCCCAAAGAGCTTAAGACATCATATTAGAGCAATACATGCATACCAATGTTTATAGCAGCACAATTCATAATAGCCAAATCCTGGAAGCAAACTGTATACCCATCAAGAGATGACTGCAGTATCCTATATACTGTAACAGACTACTACTCAGCTATAAAGGAGGACAAGTTGGAGATATCTGTAGGAAAATGGATGCACCTGGGAAACATAATGTTGATTGAAATCAGACATATAAGCTTGAATACTGTATAGTATCTTTCATTTGAGTAAAGTACAAACCAAGAGAAAAATAAGGAAAGCATAGGAGACAAAAGGATGGACCTTTTGGATATGGGAATAGATCCAGAGGACTGAGGGAGAGGAGATGGGGAAACAGGTAGAGCAAAGATAGGCCATGTATAGGATCCTAATAACCTCAATGAATGTGGACATTATAATCCATAAGCAGGAACTAATAATATCAGCAACAATGACAAGGGAGAAAGGAGAAACAGAAAGGGAGGGAGGGAGGAAGGGGATTAAAGGAAACAAGCTCTTACGTACCTGTACCAACTCCCTAAGATGACTGTGAAATGCATGTACTAATCATATATA